CGGAATCGTGTTATCGTGTTATCGTGTTATCGTGCTGACTTATTAGCCGTATAATATTATAAATTTATTTGAACATTTAAATTTAATAATTTCAAATTTGTAATAAAATGCATTGATATTAAAATTTTAAGTGCATATTTTAATTGCATATTATGGGGTTTTTTAGTGCATAAGTGCTTGCATATTTAGAGCTTTTTTAGAGCTACAAGTCCTCTGCCCTAAATTTATATCTAATATATATAAAATATATATCTGTGGCTGTCACCGACCAACATTATATATATTTTATAATACGTAATATTATTATTATGTCATATTGAAGCGGCCCGATTATAATATATAATATATAATATAACAACACTAGGTACCATGACAATATTTATTTATTTACGGACATGTACGCTTTCGCGTTCGTACGCGCCGCCCGTTCGCTTTTTTTTTTCCTCACTACCCTGCGTAAAGAAGTATAACTTCAAAAACATAGTATACAAACATATTATACAAAATATAGGTACCTATATATTTTATGTTGGTATAATTCTGTAAAAATTTAATCCCCGAAATAAAATATTGCGTACATTTTTTATAATATTTTTATATACCTACTATGTTTTGAACTGTATTCTTTGACGTATCGATCGCTAGAAATATTTTTATACTTTATATATTATTTTGTGTACACTGCAGTACTCACACAACACTCATAAGTAATATTTGAAGATTTGAAAACGTAATATTTTATTTCAGACATTTAATTTTTACAGAATTATACCAACATAAAATGTGTATTAATAAAGTAATATAAAATGTTGTTGTTAATTTTTCAAAAATTATTTATAGTTATTTATTTATATTATTTTTATTACCTATATTTTGTATAATATTTTTGTATACTACCTATGTGTTTAACTGTATTATTTGACGTATCGATCATTCAAAATATTTTTATATTCTACACCTATTTGTAACAATGATAAGTTAGTTATTTAATTTGAATTACACATAATATATTATCGTAATTTAAAACAAAATATTATTTATAATATATAATTTTTTTAACAATATAATATATTGTAATATATTATATTCAGATATTCTAATATATAAAATTTTCGTGTCACAGTTTTTGTTGCCATACTCCTCCGAAATGGCTTGATGAAATTTTTTGTGCATATTCAGTAGGTATGAGAATCGGCTAACATCTATTTTTCATACCCCTAAGTGATAAGGGTTGTCCAGAAAAAAATAAAAGAAGTGCTCAAACAGGGATTTTGATAATTTACGGTAGAAATAATTGTTTATAAATGGTTGCTAAGGTATTGGTTATATATATAAAAAAAAAAAAATAATAGATACAACATACAAAAATACATACACCCTTCTACGATCAACCCTTATTTTTTAATAGCCATTTTAGTAATTTAATCATTTTTTCTCGGCATCATGGCGGCATGTGTATAAACAATACATTACATTACTGTTTAGTTTTTTTTCTCATTTTAAAATGCCCAAAAGAACAAGATCTCAACTTTCTAGAAATAGTTCACAGGCTAGGGCAATAAAAATACGTCGTCATGGAGAATCTCAATCAGCCCCTTTGCGTTTTATTGGCATTGCTCACCGTACAAAAAATACATTATGTACAATTGTCAACGTTACTACACTTGATGCATAAACAATATCAGAAACTGAAAATCGTCTTGCAAGTCAGAGAGAATACGCTCAAAGACAATCACAAATTTTTAAGGGCAACGAAGTGCACGGGATCAGCTATATTATATATATATATTATAATAGAATAGAATATACGTATTTGTAATTAAATATTAATTATAGATACTAATTAACGTTTAAAAAATATTTGTTCAACCATTTGCATGAGGTTGTGAGTAATATTGTAGTATGGGGTTTTTTTTCCTAGGGTCGGGGAATTTTTTCCCGGGGTTGTTCGACGGGGGATTTTTTTTCCGGGGGATTTTATTTCCGGAATTCATGGCTAACGGGCGAGTTGACACGACATCCAGTCAGAGGTGTTGGAGGTACTCACCACATATTTTCAACGGCGCATCGAGCTCCAATAGCATGGGTTGCGATCGGAAGATCTCAATGGACTTGAGGCACAGGCCTATCATTTCACCATCGGACAGCTGAACGTTCGTGCCAGGTCTCGCACCGCGCACTGTTGAACAGTTACAACAACAATTGTTACAAATGAATCGTCATCGGTCCCTGCAGGGACCGACCAAAATTGGTGCCCAAAGGAGGACGGCGGAACCGCGTTTCCGTCATGGGCCCACCGGCGGCTTACCTTCCAAGAGTCTGGAAATTATGTTGTCGATGTTCAATAATCCGTCAATGTCTGCCATTGTTTCGGGGCGTGCGCGGTATGTGTGCCGTGATTATTGTCGTACCGGAACCGTGGTCGTGGTGATAGTCGTAGCCGCCGCCGCACGATGCTCGATGGATCGATGGGTGTGATGTGAAGCCGGCGTGCGTGGTCTGATGAGGTGCGTGCAATCGACGGAAATGATGCGAGCTGATGGCACGCGGGTTTGCCTTGCCGGGAGGCGGATAAAATTAATTAAAATTAATATTAAAATATTTTTGTTTACGTTATCGCGACCGACAAAAAGGGAACGCCGTCGGGTATGTAAAATGAAATGACTGAAATGGCGTGGTTCGGACGTTACCACGGATACAGATATCGTATCTATATCCGTTACTACGTTACGTCATCAACAATTTTTTTCCTCTCTCACCAAAAGGTATCGTTTATTCTTCCACGACGATACCGAATACCGACCGTTTTTCAAATATAACACAGTACGCTACATGGGCGGATGGGTCCACCGAGAAACCGGGAATTTCCCGGTGGGCCCCCACTTCGTATTTCAGCAATGGGGGGCCCTTTTTATGGTTAACGTAATGACTCATTAATATTATAATATTATACAATTACAATAGAAATTTGAAATATTATATTATTATAATTTATGATCTTATATCTATAAATCTATTATTTACTATTCTGTGGTATTTTACAAGAGGTTTCTTATCGCCTATCGGCCCGCAGCCGCCACTCTACCACCAACTACAACTATCACGTCGATTACCGGTTGGCGAAGGGGTAGTGGTCACGGTTGTGAGTTGGGACTGTTAAGGTGGGTAATAGTCAAATATCCTGAAAATAATCTAAAAGATAAAAGATATTCTGAACAAAATTGATTCTGAAGACAGGAGTTCTAGGAGCCCAGTATACTTGGTAGAATGTTATTATTTAAAAAAATTTAAAAATAAATAAATGATTTTAAAAATGTGTTTTGTAGTACATTGTTTTCTTTTGATATGGTAGCTCATATTATAATTCACCTAATAATAATGTACTTGCGAGAGAAGTGAGCTTATTTTATTTTTTTCATGTGGGCCAGGGGGCCCCTTTTTAATAATTTCCTGGTAGGCCAAAAATGGCCTATCCGCCCATGGTACGCTATGATGGTGGGGTCTGTCGTCTGCATCTGCATTCTGCATGACTGCATCGATGCAGCGGCAACGGCGTCTTGTTCCTATTTTTTTTTAACGAATTTTTTGATTTTCTATTCCAAAGAAAATAATAAGTAAAAGAAAAATGGGTGTATAAAATATACTATACTAGCTCTAAGTGTAACTCGGGGCCCGTTGGACTCGCTGGGAGTGGGTACCGATTTCGGAGACAATGAATTATAAAAGTCGCAAAGGTTGAAAGACGAAAGTTTAGGATTTGTGATAAGGATTAGTGATATGGATTGGAGATAAGGCTAGACGCTTTGGCGGGAATGTTAAAAGTTTGAGCGTCTAGCAATCCGTCACAAACGTTGTAAATGGATAGGCTGGATACGATCTCCAGGATCACCTATATAGAGTATACCTGCACATAGAGTGGTATGTGCCGTAGCATGACCGGTGCTTTATCTTATGTAAAAAGTGTAAAGTCGAAAACCGTGTTGGAGTTTCTAGCAAGTCAGTCATCTCAAGTCAAAATCTATTAACTTTCAAGTTAGCCACTTAGGTAGGAAATCCGACTTCGTCGGATCGCGGATAATGTGCTACAGCAAATCAGGTAGGCAATCCACCTGCGGTGGATTGCAGACCCGACGTCAAGCGGCTATAAGTGAAAACCCTATGACACAACTTACGAAAAATTCAAACTATATACAATATACATACAAACAAATATGATATGTATTTATTATGTGGTATAATATAACAATGAACATTTTGAGAAATGTGCAATTATAATTCCTAAAAAAATTAACATATAGGTAGATAGTTAGATACATACTATTATATTAACCAATACAATACATATAAACATTACCTATAATAAATATATATTAATTTAAAAAAAAAATGCAAAAACCTGCATGTTAAAGTGTCTATCAAGTCAATCATCACCGTTTAAGACGAAACTAAAATGAGCAATCCGTCTATCACCTACCTATATATAGTAGGTATATAACATAGAGTGGTATGTGCCTTCGCATGTCCGATGACTTTTCTTATGTAAAAGTGTAAAGTCGAAAACCGTGTTGGAGTGTCTAGCAAGTCAGTCATCTCAAGTCAAAATCGATTAACTTTCAAGTTAGCCACCTAGGTAGGCAATCCGAAATAAAATACAAACTATATTGATATATCAATCATGGAAATTTTGAAAAAATATGCAATTATAATAATTATAATAATTCCTAATAAAACAAATATAATATTATATACCTATTTATTGTGTGATATAATATGACAATAACTTTAAATAATAATAATGTACAATATGTTCCTGTATTATTATTGTATGTATATGTTACAGTAAAAGATGTTAAATTTATATTTACGTTATTAACTAGCAATTAACGTTAATAGATAATAATAAATATTTTACAAGGCTTATAACGTTAATAACTAAGGATTTACGTTAATTCCAAACAATATCAGTTAATCATGTTATTCGTATTTAAATTGTTATATTATTATTTATTTTCACATGACAATGAACTGTGACATTTTGAATTGCATAATTTTCCTACTAATCGACAGGTGCATTTATTTGTTTTACACTTCATTTTACAGTGACATCTTTGATAGCCTTGTGTGCCCATAAGACTACTACATCCTGCTGCTTCTCGAAGTGTTATCGCTTTTTCTTTAGATGATTCAACCAGAGTTTTGAGATCAAGCAACATTTCTTTGCATGGCACAAGTTGAGATCTCGTATACTTGTGTTTAAGAAAACCATTTTCGGTACCTAATCCAAATATAAATACATAAATACCTATAAATTTAAATTTTTTATTTTATTTTACTTACATAATTTATAAAAGCCGTTTTCAACATTAGCAATAACTGCTAATAAATTGCGTGGGGATCCACGGGCTCTATCAACGTCAGGAACGGAAATACGAACAGTTGTTCCGACTTCCAACTCTTGATATTTTTTATTTGATTGTGTCGTCATCCTTTCTGCTTGCTTTTTTAAACATTGAATTGAATTATTTCTTTCATTTGTAATATTTTCTTGACGTTTGTTGACTGAAATAAAACGTAATACCTATTTAAAATAATTATAAAATGACCAAAATGCAGGGGTCGGGTGAAGTAAAATTTATAATTATTATTTATAACTCGAATTTTTTTTTCAAACGAGCAATAAAGAGTTTTATTTTGCATTATTTAGAATTTTTAATTAGTTTAATTAATTTAAATTAATTTTTAAATTTATAATTTAAAAAAAATTAACAAACCAAGACATTTCTTTATTTTCACTGTTCTCGTCCCTGATCTCATTATCCTCATTGTTTTCGGGCTGTAGCATTATTTTTTCAATATCTTCTTCCATACTTAAATTACAAAGTTCGTTTACTGGAATGCCTACTGATGCTAATCCAACTCTTGCTTTGCACCCAAACATTGCTTCGTAAGGAGACCTTCCAATGCCTTTAATATTGAATTTGATAGAAAAAACATTATTAAACAATATTTAATATTTAATATGTAACACAAAATGATATTCATACCTGAATGTAATGCACGGTTTTTTTGAAATGATATAAACTTTAAACCCGAACGCCAATATTTGCTTTTATTTTGTGCCATCCATGTTGCTAGCATGTCTTCGACGTCGCGGTTAGCTCTTTCCACAGACCCTTGGCTCTGGCTGTGTCTAGGTTTTCCATACACTATTTTTACATCTGACCACATGGAATGAAGCTCAATAATTATTGAATTAACAAATTCTCGGCCATTGTCTGAATGTAAAATGGCCGGTGCCCCGAAAGTTGTATAAATATCCAACAAATTGTGCTCGATCTCTTCCGCACGTTTACTCGATAATGCTCTAAGTAATACGAATTTCGTAAGATGGTCTTGATAATTTAAAATGAAGCGGAATCCATTAATATGTTGTGATTGCATATCAATTAAATCAATTTGAGCTCTTGAATTGAAAGTGGAATGTAAAATAGGTTTTGAAACTAAGCCTCTTTTAGGATTTGATGACTTTTTTTGGCAATGTGTGCATAGATTTAAATATGCCATAATAGTTTCGTTCGTGATACTGCAATATTTTGATTTTAATTCAGAATCCATTCTACATCTTCTGCCATGGCCAATAGTAGAATGAGTCGAATGCAAAATATTGAACAACTCGTCAATTGTAACGTAATATTATAATATAGTACCTATCATCGTGTACAGGTTTAATAAGACGCTCTTTATTATTTATTGTTAAAATATCATATTTACGTACCATTCGATAATCTTTCATAGACTTTTTTTCTCCTGGTGTTTTCAACACAAATTTTGAATGCTTTAATTGTTCAATACGAATATATACAACAGTTAGAAAGGAGTTATTATCACTACGTTTTTTTTAACTAAATCAGAAATAATGTTGTTAAATTTGTTTTTCATTTCAAGTTCGTCCATATTGAATTTTATATTAATAATAAGTCAATACAACTTAAAGAATATGAACACAATGTTATACGAATATTTGAACATACAAAATAGTATGACGTTATAACGGCGATGTTGATTCTACGCGTACCGTAAAGGACTGACAGGTTACAGACTATCTTAGTCCGAAGTTCTATCTACTGTGGTTGTAATGCTATCTTAGTAAATAATACCATTAAGATAACATTATATAACAACATTTTCCATCGTGTGTGGAAATTATCGATAATCAAACCAAAAAAATAATAAACCACGATAATCTCTAGCTAATTAGGTAATTATTGTTATTTACTAGAAAATAACGTTATTTTGATGTTTAACATCATTTACTGTAACATATACACACCATTATTTTTCTACATATTATGTCGATAAAAGTATAATACCATGTATTCTCAGTTAAAAAGCTTTAAAATTGAAAACAAAATTCCTTATATTTTTTTCACACTAGAATTTCAGTAGAAATTAGTTTAGTTTTTATGAGCGAATGAAGTTTTTGGAAGAATTTGTTAAGTTCACGAAATCATACAAACTATTTTCTAAGAAGTTAAAATAATGTAAGTATGACATTTTGTGGTTATGGCTTGAAAATTGAATACAATAAATTCCTCATAACTCATAACTTAAGTCATAAGTAAGTTCCTCATAAAAGTATAAAACCCAAATATCTGTGGATGACAGATGTGCCACCTACTTCCTCGCTTTTAGATTCTGAGCGGAGAGATGAATACATTAATTTTACAATGATGTTTATTTTTTTTATTTGGGTCACCTTTAAGGACAATAAAAATGATTTGTTAATTAATTTTTTAAATAATTAATTTTTTTTAATAATTTTCAAACACATCGGGGGAAACATACAATAGTATTATAGAAGTTGACTGTTGAAAAATATTATAGATCCATTGTCACGATTTTTTTAATGTATTTAAATTTCAAATGTTGACAAAATATATCAAAATGTTCAAAATGTTCAAATTATTTTGTAGTTAAAAAATAATGAAACTTTCAATTTTCATAGCTAAGGATTGGAAATTTAAACAAGGATTCTCATAAATAGTTCATGCTGATACTGTAACAAAAAAATCTAGGTAAGTACATCAATCAATAATATAACAGTATAATGACACAAGAAAGAAATTTGTTTTAACTAGATACTTTGAACATCTATTTATATATGTTTAAATTAGTTAATTTAAGTCATTAAATAAATAATGTTCTCCTAATTTTATATGATGAAAGTAAGTAAGTAAGTAAGTAAGGTCATTTAAACAAATAGTAACTAATTTTACAAATTTATACCTCTTAGATTATTTATTTTCAAAATTATAATTTATACCAGTATAATCGTACGAATTAATTGAATTTACAATGTGTAACCCTGTTTCTTATAAAGACAATTTTGAACAACTGGATGAATATCAAAAAATAGCTGAATGAGATATCTTTATTGGAACCTTTATATACATCGCGGTCAACATCACATTATTATATACTAACTTTGGATTAATAATTCCAGTAAATAATTAAATTGTACATAATAATTTTTTTTTTTATATAGTAAAATTACAATAAAATTAATGCATATTTGCAAAATATTTTTAAATTTCTTAATAAAATTGTTTGTAATAATCGCTATATAATGCATGTTATGAATACGATGTGAATATAGTATGGATTTTTAACATATCAAATTGATTTTGGAGCTAGACATAGTCAGTAAAAATGGCTTTATATAAAATTAATCTTTATTATTTATTTCTATTTAGTAATTTAGATTTATCCGGTTTGCTTTTCTATTTATGTATTAGTTCATAGTTCATACCTACATACTGGCCGTTAGTACTTAATTAGTTATTTTTATAATATTCAAACACCGATTTACTGCACTTTATTATATCTATTAGATATAGCCAAGATTATAATATATTTACGTACTTATTATAAGAATAATAGGTTCCTATTATAATTGTTTATACTTGTTAAACATATTTTATATACCTCTTACTTTTTAGCCGTGTGATGGAAGCAACGTTAAGATATGGCTAATATACCAAGTAATTGCATTTTATATATTTCTAATAATCATGGTAAACATTGAATTCGTATTGCAATACTCAAAAATGTCCAATGAATATCGACTATATCGAGGTACAATGTCCATCGAAAATGTTGCAGGCGACATAATAATACGTATGTTATTTAAATTTAAAATATCATGGCAGCTGCCATGATTATAACTTAATATGTCTGATAAGTATATTGTTTAAAATATTTAAAATATTGTAAAACTCAATTCAATTTTTATAGTATTGTTGGTAGAAATGATTGTTGTCTACATATCCTATAAACAAATTATATCAGTATAATGGCTGCAGTTATAAAGGAAATCAGCCCACAACGTTTAAATCTGATAATTAGACAGCAACACTAATGACAACATATACAATTTTCTTTAAATCAATTATATATAACAGTTTTTTTCAGTTCTATTTACGAGGTGTACGTCGTTGAATTATCTACAAATATGTTCAAATTCAGGATAATTGCGAAAGGTACCTTAGATGAAAATTCAGCTATCAAATTTATAAATAAATGCCCTCGAAATTGATGGTTACAACAAGTGTTTCTAAAATACAATAATAATTAACATACATTTACTATCGAGTATATCATTTGAATATTATTAATATTTATAATTTTTAGAGTGATATATATATATCAATAATGCCTAGAGACTCTAGGCTAGAGCTTAACTGTACCTACGCCTGAATGGTCTGATCATTAAAAAAAAAAATTTAGAGCCATCATGTGAATTAGGATTTAGGACATCACACCCACAGGGACGGATTGGAATTTCGGACCAGCTCGGGAAAATACTTTTTTAACGGGCCACTATTTGTTGGGAGATCGGCGGCAACTGGCAAGTGTACCATACTGAAGGATAAAGATAGTAATTTTTTTTTAGTATTTTAAAGGGTAGTCTACTGTAATCAGTGTTATTAATTATTATAAAATCAACCTTTAACAATAAAATGTAATAATAAAAAGGTGCTCTGCTGTACAGTAGGTTACAAGTGGGTCACTGTTTAATGGATGGTATTAAATTTGAATTCAATGATATAATATCATTGTATAAGAAAAACAATTCTGAGCGGAGACGGTATGTCAGTCTAGGACGTCTAGGTATAAGACATACTATATACTTATCTATGGTATTAAAAAAAATTTACCTATAATAGATACCCATAATAAATTCCAAATTAATCATATCACAATATTCATTAGACCGTGATACTATCATAGATATATAGTAGTATACTTTAGAAGTTTCAAGTACCCACGAATAATATAATACAATCCCAACGAAATAATTAAAAAAGTTATTCTAGGTTTTCTTAATATGTAACTTTGTCCAAATTTGAACATAAAATGGCTATAAATAGAAACTGTGTTTGTGTGTTTTTTAGATTTTTTGGTAAAAGAATTAACTATTTACATAGAATCTTGTTTTAAATTTTCAATCCTTCAATCTAAAACTTGAACATTTTATAAATTATTAACTAAAAAATAATTATTAAATTTGATAAATTTTGTCAAAATTCGATCTTTAAATGCTTATAAACAAATTGATGACTATATATTTATATTATTTTTCAACTGCTATTGTAACAATATATCAGGAGCTTTGCATTAAATTTTCATGCTTTTTTACCCAACAGATAAAACTTTATTGATATTTATTATTTATAGAAAAATAAAACTAAAAAAATTGAAAACTGAAAATGTCCGTAAACAGCTCAAAAAGATTCAAATTATTTTCAAAATTGTATGGTGTATAGGAATTGCTAATTCAAATATTCAGTGAAATTTTCAAGTATCTACAGTCATTAGTTTTTTAATTACAACAAAATAAGAAAATCGGTACATGAGAAATCGAGGGAATATCCAATGTTGTAAAAATTTGAATTTCAAACGCTCATAAAAATTTAACTTGACTTTCTTATAGACATTTTTTTTTGTTAAAGGTAGATAATCTTATAAGGAATCTTGTATTATATTTTGAAATCTTAGATTTCAAAATAACATTTTTTATGGATTCTTAACCCAAAATAATTAACTAATTTTCGTGATTTTGTCAATTTTTGAACTTTAAATGCTTATAAAAAGAACAAACTGTTACTAAGGATTTTTAATATTTTTCAAATGTCATTGTAACAATATATTTGGAGCCTTGTATTTAATTTTCAAGTATTTTTACTCAACAAATAAAGTTTTATTGACATTCATAGAAAAAAAACTTATAAAATTGGAAACTGTAAATGTTCCTAAACAGTTCAAAACAAATCAAAATATTTTGAAAATTTTATCGTGTATAGAAAATGAAAATTTAAACATTCAATGAAAATTTCATGTATTTTCATGTATTTTCATGTATTTTCATGTATTTTAATCAATTAGATTCATTTTTCCATCGAACAAGATACTGAAGTTGAAAATCGAAGCATTATATCGACTAGGTACTTATCGTGTACACGGACACAAAAAAAAAAAAAATTTTAAAATTTAAAAAAAAACACACGTCATTGTAAAATCAATACCAAAATATAAAAATTAAATATGTTGGTCGTAGGTGATAAGAAATCTTTTGTAAAAGACCACAGAATAGTAATAACTAATAGATTTATAGATATAAGATTATAATATAATATTTCAAATTTCTATTGTAGGTAATTGTATTAAATTAATGAGTGATTGAGCTAACCATAAAAAGGGCCCCATTGCCGAAATACGAAGGGGGGCCCATCGGGAAATGCTCGGTTTCCCGGTAGGCTTATCTGCCCATGTCATGAATAAGTCATAAGAGACAAGAGTCATAAGACTATAATAAGACTAAGTATTATAATAAAGAATAGTTTGTAAATTTAATTTCTTTTATTATTATTTACAATTAATGCTTGAACATCAAGGTTACTCACCTCTCTTTAAGTCATAATATCACACACAACTATAACGAATCACATAAAAAAAAAAATTAATTTAATGGACCAATTATGGGCCATGAAATCATGATCAAAAGTTAGTTATCTCACTACTGACTCATTAAAATGTTTAGTGATTATTCATGCTGCAACACTGAACACGGTGTGTTAGACTATATAATTTATACAACCAGGATGGATATTGAGTGACAAAGGGTATGAAAATTGTATATTTGAAGTTTATATTTTGTTTACAACTTCAGTTTCAGATAGGAATTTTATTATTTTAATAACTTAGTCCAGACACTGGAACCAAAAGGAACCGGTTCTGGAGAGTGGAGCCCAAAAACCCTTTAAATATCGGGAACCGGAACCAGGTTCAGTAACCAGAACTAAAGGCTGAAGCCCATATTTTGAAATAACATTATCTGGTTAGTAGTTTTACAATGATTATTTTGTGTTTCTCTCTGTCACCTGTTCTCAATTTATTGGCTATAAGAAGTGCATACGTGCTTGCGCTTTGATAGGTAAGTACCTAAACTATTGGTTACTTTTAGCAACTATAAGCAAGTGATGTATTGCGCGGACTTGAACCAAACCGAGAAATTCTTTCCTGCGAAGATCCATTCGTTTATTTCGAACTGTTTTTATCGGAAACCGATGAATATAAGTTGGAGGTAACAATTTGTAACCTTACCTCCAAATAACAACCGTTATCTCTTATACACAACCTATCACTAATTTATTTCAACTGGTCTCATCTGCCCATAGGAAATAAAACGGTGACAATGCGACATGTAAGTACTAAGTAAGTAAATTATAATATAATCTTCTTTAACGGAAACTTACTGCTAAATAATACCTATTATATTGTAATGTCGACTTGTAGACTGTAATCGTTTATTTCAGTCATTTCAAAAGTCATTTCAAAAGTAAGTTTCGCATTTTAATTTTAATACCTAATAATTACTATAATTTAACTAAAAACTTCTTAATAACTATTATTAGTTTGACTAGTGGACTGTTGTAACATGTAGTAAGTAGTAACAGTGATACAGTTTAGTAGACATGTAGACATAGATATTATATAGACCGAGTATTTGTAAATTATATGTAAAATTGTACAATAATTGATAATGAACACATAATTGGTAATTTTAATTTCAATGTAGGTACTATTGCAGTATACCTATAATATGTTAGGTACTTATATGAATATGATATATTATCAAGAAAGTGTGTTAAACTTACTCAAAACAGTCAAAACCCAAGTTAGATTGAAATGTATGTCATACCAAGAAAATTAGTTTAATTTTGTTTAATTTGTTAAAAAATAAAAGAGTGAAAGTAGGTTTATGGCTAGTTGGTATTTAATTGATAAGATAAATAATTAATTATAATTGTCATGTTAATATAATATAGTAGATTTCTATTCCAGCTCTACAAAATGGACAGCGGTAATATGGCCTGTGCTCATTCGGAGGTATTCTTGAATAGCTACAATGACAAGCTCCACATATTCATTGGTGTAAGTATGGATACGCTACTACTGTTGGTGGACTGTACAAACATATGTAACATGGTTCCTCTACTATTGGTACAACTTTAAAATAATAAAACATCATTATTTTTAATCAATTACTTTACCTAGAAACAAATTTCAGATAATTGCTACCTACTTGTCAAATCTACACGTTCAATGTAAATAACTGATGGTATCACAGACTGTTCGTTAGACACATCTTCATCTGAATAATCTGCATCAGCATCGAGATTATAAAAAACTAAAGACAAGCGATTTATTTATTAGCATATTTTATTAGAAATCTGTATAAGTAATATTATAATGAAAAATCATACAATCTCAAGGAACGGGCACTGCTGGTCTATGTGGTAAAATCCTTCTCATTATTTCATCGCAATCAGTTCCTGATGCTGATCAACGTGCAGTGGTAATAAAGCTGGTGCTTCTTGTAGTGGTGCTTGTGGTAAAGCAGTAGCAGTGAGCACAGGAATAGCTGGAAGTTTCAGTTCCCGATGCTGATAAACGTTGAGTGGTAATAAAGCTAGTGGAGCTTGTGGAAAGGCAGCAGCAGGAAGTATTACAATAGCTTGGTGTTGAGGCCGTATTACACCAAAATAAATAAATAATGAATGCCTAGCACATATTAAAAATTCTGACATTGAGTCGTCCTTCGTCCTCAACGTCCTTCTATAAACAGTCTCAATGATCTATCTAAATTCCTTTGCTGTTCTATCCAAACTTGCCATTGAGGTTCTCTTACTTGTACACCATCAGTAGCCTCATTATAATCGTTCAAAACACCATTCGAGTAAGTAATTAGCACCTCTGTAAATATAAAATACTGATATATTCCTTTTCTAGTGTTAAATAAATAAAAATATAATTACTCAAAAACACCCATGGCTCAAGATTGTGCCGATTTTGCATGTGTATCTGGAGATGTCTGTGACTTACTTTCAACACATTGTTGGTTTGCCAAACTGTGTCACTCACCGACAATATATCTGCATTTATTCCTATTGGAAATGGTGTAGGGTTAGTTATAAATTTGTTTAGTTGTATGAACAAAAAATATTATATTAAAACTATTATTTTATATTTTACAGACCTGCAAGCAATGTTGATCTATAATATTCAAATAATAATGTAAAATTGTAATCATTATTATTGCTAATCAATGATTGCACATTCTCAATATAGTATGCCCTTACAGTTTCAAAACCTTCAGCTATACAATTTGTTGGCAGCAAAGGCAATGCCATCAACATATGCACAGTATCATAGGCTCCTCGATGGTTACTACATATTTCAATCAATCCTAAATATTAACCAGTGTTATTAATTGACTATACCTTAAATTTATTATTAATTACAAATTCAGATTTTAGAGTAATCTTACCTGTTTGCAACTTGTCTCCATGCCGCTTGGGAGGAATGAAACCAACGGCCTCTAATAGTGGTATTTGGAAACATTGTTCTTATAGCAGCAATAGCTGCCCTTTCAAAATCAACTATTATGGTTTGAGGTTGCCACTCTGTTACTATGCTTAAAATCTTATTGAAAAGTGCCGTGTATGCCCTTTCCGTTCTCCTCGACATCAATGCAAAACCTATAGAAATCCCTAAAAAAAAATATTTTTATAATTAGATTTAAAAAAATAGTAACTTAAAATAATCTAATTAGTAAAATAGTTATTTTCTAATTTAGTATTATTTATTTAAAAATTATTTACAAAACTTACAGTATTAAATGCTATGCCCATTATGACATATAATTGGTGGCATTCATTTCCAAAACTTGGTGAACTAGAAAATGCAACAAATAAGTTGAACCTGTCCTAAGTTAACTAAATTAATTGTATAATAAAACAGTGCCTATGTGTAATTATTATTTATTTGAAATAAAGTTTATTATATTTTATAGTTATATACTTTTTGATTCCAGGCAAAATGAAAAGTAAAGTGGTTCCTTCTTCTAAAGTTGCACCAACAATGCCAGAGTATATCGATTAATTTTGTATCATAGACAAGTGCACATATGTGGAATTCAGTCATAGACTGAGGAGTGACTGGATGAATTTGACGTCTATGTCTACGCATTGTTCTATGCAGTGAGACAAATGAACCGACATGAACATTTACAAAATCTACCATACTGCATGTCTTAAAATGTATTTTCATATTCAAATTTGAAAATTTAATATACAAATGTATTTACAAAAAAAAAAATATATTAGTATTTTTTATATAGAAATGATGTAAAACTCTTAATAGGTATGTTTATACATAAAGTGAGTCAATAAATTACATTTTACTTTTTGATATAATATTTAGTAACAATATTATTTATATACTTCATTGTAGATGAGACGGAGAGAAATTTAATCATTCTGTGTCGGTTGGTTACAAATATTAATTAATTATAAAGATATTAAATGTACACTAGTTTTCAAATTAAAATAGAAAAATAGTTGTTTTAGCTCTTAGTTCCATTCAATATTGTTACCAGTTTACCTTATATTAAGAACCTATTATAACATGAGCAAATATTTTTATATTTTTTCAAAAAAGCTCCATAATAAGTACTTACTTTATATAAAAAAAACATAACTGTTAGTGTTAAATTAGCAGTTATATTTGTAGGTAAATATAAGATTCATCTTTTCAAACAAAAGCTATTAAAAATGGTTGAATAATAAGTAAATTGAACAATTTTTAAGGTTTCATTTTTCATTTTATTAGGTAACCCCCCCCCCCCCACGCTCCACCTAAGTTTGTATATTATAAGCTTGTGAAAAAAAATTTAATTTATATATAACATATTATATTAATTATTTTTAATTTAAAATTAAATAAAATTAAATGAGGCTAACTAAAGAAAAATGTAGGTTTTAGTTAAGTAACTCTTTTTAAAAATTTGAGACAAATGGTATAAATTCTTATAAAATGACCAGTGGTAATATGCTCATAGACCGGCGAGGAAGCCAGAATCAAAAATAACTACTATAAATACTGGTATACAGAAAAAAAATTACATTAAAAATCAGTCCAGTATTATAGGGGTGAAAGTAGGTACTTATCGCATGAGCTAGATGGTGGATGTAGTTGATTTCAGATTTTAAAACAATAAATAGGTAGGTACTAAATGTATTTTAATAAATAATTTCTTTTGATGAAATGATACTGTGAAAAGGGTATAATTTATATACTATATATCGTTAAATAAATCATGAGCATTAAATAAACACAAATTATCAATAGGATGTCAGCTAGCGCAATATTTGTTTTCTCTCTCAGACTGACGTGCAAACGTCGATAAAAAGTCACGGAAAACCATTTTTTTATGATTTTTGAATAACCTTTTATTACTATAGTATATTTAATATTGTGTGGCAACTAGCAAGCTGGGAAAGTGAGCTTTTTGAAAATTGCCTTCCCTCACGAGCCACACTAACTATTTTTTGTCAAACCTCTGCGTTAATCGATCAGTGTCTGGTTAGGGAGTTTACCAATTGCGCTTAAAATGACTGGAACTTCTCAGGACAAAACACTTACCTATGTATGAAAACAATCTAAAAAAAGTATCGTATAATACTTTTCAATTAACTTCCTTGCTATATAATTGGTGTTTGTAATTATAATAAATATAAAACTTACTTCGTTACAAATGACCCGAAGTGATATTTGTTCAGCCTGTGCCCGTTGATAACAAATATTTTTGAATCTATTTAATGCCAATTGGTTTTCTGGATGAGTTTCGTGGCCTGTTTCGAAGTATCGCTATTAAAAACTTTGCCTTTTGCACGACAACTAAAAAATAAAATAATATTTAAAATATAAACATATATAGGTCCCTCTACTAATATTTAAAATATAAACATATATAGGTTCGTCTACTAATAATTACTAAATTACTTAATAACACAACCATTTAGAATAAAATCTACTAGTACAGCAAGATCACTGCAGTGCCTACTAACCATGGTCAGCAAAATTCCATTATTTTAAATCTATAGGTACCAGTAACCTGAATGACAATGAGGTTAAAAGAAAAAAAATTCTTAAATCGAATTTATAACTTCTAAATCTTTAAATATTTTAATGTACAGAAAAGGAAGGTAGGTAGGTAATTTTTTATAATGAAATATAAGTGATTGTTTAAAATTATTAAATTTACCCAGCTCTCCAGGATGCACAACGAATAGTAAAAGGCATTCGACATTGTCGATTTTTCCAATAATTATATTCATCGTCGTCTGTGTATTTAAGTCCTGTGCCTCTGAAACCACCAATTTCACGAATAACTTTCTCCATTATTTAATTAAATTATCGTGTTTTATAATTTATTTTGAAAATATTATAAACACTAATAACGCATACTATACGACATCAATCACTCGTACCTAACATACATAAATGCAATGATTGACGAACGATGGAATAATGAGGGTTATTAAAATCTAAAAAATTTAATAATATTATTAATCTAGAAAAATGTGTACCTATCTTGAATACTGACTACTACAAATTTAATTTCTAAGATATTCAGTTATTTAGTATTTAATGTTTATTGAACGAATTAAGATACCTATTACAACTTTATAAGTATTTTAAAGCTTCGGATTTACTGATTTCCGGGAAACTAGAATGTTCTTTTCTCCGTTATTATTTTAGATCCTGAGTATTTTTAATTGTTTTGTGTCTGTGTAAGTGGTAAGTAGGGCTCGGATTTTATAGCAGGATTAATAATAAAAAAAGGATACAACTGTTTGGAAAAAGTAAAAAAAAAAGCATGACCAAAAATTAACTTAAACTAGGTATACAATTGAATAAAAAGAATTAAAAAAGAATTTTAACATGTATTTTTGCTGGATTTGCCACGCAAACAATAATAATCCAATAGGCAATAACCATTTAGTCCGTATTCCAGGTTTTTACATTTCTTATTAAATAAATTGATTTTTTTTTATTACCATATGTATAGCATAATAAATATATAAAAAGGGGGCAAGTGGATATGATCTGCTGTACAGTAGGTTACAAGTGGGTCACTATAATTTCCATAAAAATGCTCGTTTTCCTAAATAAATATTATTCTTTTTCGACGTTCTTGAAAACTATTGGGAATTTTTAATGTTGACCTCTCAAATGCAGCCGTAGAAAGATACCGAAATTAAAAATCGAAGCATTATTTCAACTTCTTATCATACAACTGTAAACTATAAATACTACAATAAAAAAAAAGCGGGTAAGTGGATGTCGCTCTGCTGTACAGTAGGTTACAAGTGGGTCATTGTACAATGGATTGTAATAAACTTGAATTCAATGATATAATATAAATTATCATTGTATAAGAAAAACGATTCTGAGTGGGGACGGCTTGTCAGTATGGATATTTTATATTGTTATTAGTTATTATATCATGTAAGTTGAATTAATATTATAATATTATTATTAGATTAATTAATGTATTGATTTTACAATGATGTGTGTTTTTTTTAATATTGAAGTTATACTTCTTTACGCACGGTAGTGAGGAAAAAAAAAAGCGAACGGGCGGCGCGTACATGTCCGTAAATAAATAAATATTGTCATGGTAATGTTGTTTTATTATATATCTGTATATATAAAACAGTAAGCTGATTGACTGCTATTAACGCACAGCTCAAACCATTGGACGGATCTGGCTGAAATTTGGCATACAGATAGCTATTATGATGTAGACGTGCGCTAAGAAAGGATTTTTCGAAATTCGCATTTTAAGTAGGTGCTCAAACAGGGACATTGGGATTCAAGATGGAAATTGGAAATTTTATTTTTATTTATTAATAGTTGCCATTGGTTATAATCTAATAAGAAATTAGCATTTATTTATTGGTTGCCATTGGTTATTCGGGCAGATCAGGTACAAGCTTGCATCAAATCAAATTATTGAACATTGCCTACCAGGGTGGCTGAGTTGCACTTACCCCAGCAAGTTACACCAAAAGGAGTTCAACAATCATAATTTTTTTAAGAGTTGTGATTTTTTTTTTTACGAGCAACCAAATTTGTTATATTAATCCACCGTATTATATCAAAATAAACTTGTTATAACTTTGATAATTTAGAGTTAAATCATACACTTCCGTACAAACAGCACGGGGTCCGCGATCTACCGCAGGTAGATTGCCTACCTGATAATGTACTGCTGCGATTCAGAATTTTTATTCCGGGCAACGGAAAAGATAAGATAAATTTTGAACACCATACATCGAATATT